CGCCGGGTACAAACTCCTAGGCATAAATTATAACTGTGGACATCGCTTATCCGAGTTCAAGCTGCGTATTTCTCCTCTGATCCAGTTGTGCTTTTAGGGAGCAGCCACATGTCTAATGTTAATCAACTGCCTCCTTTGATATCGGCAGCTCGGATGACCACAGGCTGTAAATCAGTAAAAATAAATGTTCCTGGGCAATCGGGAAGCCTGCCAAGTAATGGAAACGATCTTTAGGTCCAACGAGAAAAATGCCAGCTGGAATCCAGCTTGCCTGCGCCGAGGGTCAGCAGAGATTTGAGGTGATTACCTGACCTGCAGGGAATTGCAGGTCAACTTTTCCAAGTCGTTAAGTGCTAATCACTTTGGGACTCACCTGCAGAACATGCCAACAGCTTATTCAGCTCCGTAATTCAGGGCTTCTTTGTAAGCCATTGTACCCAGCTTTCTTGCAAATTTTTATTTTTCAGAGGAAAACAAAACATTTTTCTGACAAGTTACCTTCCAAGTACCTTCTTGTGTGTAGATCACCTATTTGTGTCACTGTCTTCTTGTCTTTCCTTACTCTTTTGCTCACTAATAAAATGTCCAAATTGCAGTCTGTGCTCATGTACACAACAGTGAGAAAAAAAATCATTAATGAGCTTCCATATAAAGGAATGCCAAAAGAAGAATCCCTTAAAAATATTAAAATTAATGCAGACCTTTAAATCATTCACGTGCTCCACTAAGTAGCACCTCCATGCTGGCTCAGGCGTTCGTTTAATATACTTGCAATTAGCAGTTCCTGTTTTCCACAGGACTCAATAAAAGACCAGTAATCTGAAAATGAGAGGCATTTTTTTTGAAGTCAACATTTAAGATGTGTGAAAAGGTAATTATGGGGTAATGACTTTTTCCTTTCTTTTCTATATCATCCGCTGACATTTTTTTTATTTAACATGTCAGTTGACTCTGAAGGGCTGATTTGCCTGACTAAACTGTCTACAGCATCAATTTTCGACAGCTGATCTAATCATCCCTCACTCTTTATAATCAGTAGTGAGAAACACTGATTATAAAGGCACCCCTAAGAGGTGATGCATTTTGCCCCAAGTAAGATATCCTGAGCCGATGACATGAATTTTACCTTACAGGTCTTTTTTCTCCTGACTCTAAATGAAGCCTTAAATGACTCCCTCAAAAGATAGTTCTCCTTTGAGTTGTTACGTATTGGAATTGGCATGTGAATTTTATTTATCTGCTTTTCAATATACATTGATTTTTCTATATGGGTTTTATTTATTTCCCCTTAATCTAAGGGTATTTGCTTACAAGGACCTCTGCTTAGCATGCACTGGCCAGTACAATGTCATCCATGAAAGTGGAGAGCTATTAATCACTCCACTGTTCAGCAATAGCAGAATAAATAACCAGAATCCTCCTTTTACCCCTTCCAGGCACCACAGACCCAAGATGAACTTTTGAGAAAAAGAAATAGTGAACAGAGCAGAAAATATCAAAAATAAAACAGGTTTGTGCTCTTTCCTGGAACGATCTCAGTAATGGAACTAAAGTAATCCTTCTTTGCAGTCATCGTTCCAGGAGTGTTAAAGGTGTAAGAAAGACAAAGTTTTCAAGAGAACCGAGTTAAGCACCCAGTTCTGGGATACTGAAAGACAACGGGGTTTCTGTCAAAATAAAGCAGCATCCAGTTTTTCTACAGCCTTGCCAAAGGCAATATTCCCACCGTCATAGTGAGTTATCATTCTGCCTGGAGCTGTAACTGCTTTGTGTTCTTTGCTTCTTGTCCCTGTCAAGGACGCACGTTTGTTAAGGGGATGGCGACAAGAAACAGGACCAGCGTTGACGAGTTCCTTCCCTTGGGAATCACAGATTTTCGGGAGCTGCAGGTCATTCTCTTCGTGCTGTTCCTCCTGATTGACATCACCACCTTGATGGGGAATCTCAGCGTTAACGCGGCCCCACTCTCGTCTCCGCAACCATCCTGAGGATCCGCTCCCCAGAGGGCAAGTGCAAAACTTTCTCCACCTGTGCATCACACTTGATATCAGTCTTGTTTTTATGGGACTATGATCTTCGTGTACCTCCGCCCCAGCTCTAGCAACTCCCTGGACCATGGCAAAGTGCTGGCTGTTGCCTACACAGTGGTGGTCCCCATGCTGAACCTGCTCATCTACACCCTGAGGAACACAGAAGTGAAGGACGCTCTCAAGAGGCTCCTCCAAAGAGCTTTTGTTTCCTTTCTGAGATACCAAGCTGGCAAAGGGATGTCATGAATTAAACAGAATAGACTTGGACACTCTCAAAATTTGGTCAACATTTTGCTACCGACCATTTAAGCTAAAAGGCAACAGGAGAAAACAGCAATCATGAGGACCTACATTGCTGCCGAGAGCTAGCAAGGCACTGCCTCCTTCCTAACCTGCTGGGATGTAGCTGTTCTATTTGATTTCACCCTGCAATCCCAGAGCCTCCCCTATTCTCCGTTCCCACATGCCGTACTGCAAAGATGACATATTCCCGGTGTCATCCCATAAGGAGCTGCGTTTCTCCGATGGAGAAGTATCCCTCAGATTATTCGGCTCCTTCTGACACAATGACAGCTCTTCAAGAGGGCACGATGGGGCGAAGATCCAGACCCTCACGAGTGTTTGCTAAGAATAAAACTGCTAACAGGTGGGATACCAGAAGCATTTCTAGTTGGCAGTGTATGCCCACAACTGTTGAGTCGGCAGAAGCCAAGTTTTCTAACAACCAATGCTCTTCTTTACATTGAAATAAGTGCAAGCTGCATGTGTGCATTCCTCAGGGAGGACTGAGCAACCAAATGCATCTTGGTGCCATCAGCTCCAGCACTTGATATCTTTGCTGAAGGTCACCATCCAGGCTTGGTAGCTAGGGAAGAGTCAGTGGTAGCGAGCAGACAAGCAAACAGCCCTTAAGGACAGAGGCTCTTACTGGTTATTCCAAAGCTGTCTGGAAACCTTCCGTAGAAGGGGAACTCATCAGTGCAATCCAACTGCAGTGCTGCTTGGAGATAACCTGGCTTGGTGAACGTTTGTCTAATTTGTTTTACTGGAGTCTTTTATACAATAAATTCATCTAGTTTTAAAAATAAGGAAAAAAAATATTTGTAAGTCCCTTTTTGTAGGTCCCACTGTGGGTTTAAACGGAAATGTTATCTCTGAGGGGTCACCACTCTCTTAAATATTTATTTCTTAGCAGAACTGATGCCAGTGAAGACCACATCACCCAAAGCGCTTAGAGCAGCAGAGAAAAAGGAGGGGTTTTGTCTCAAAATGCTCGCAAAGATGCTCTTCTTATGCACCGCTCTTAGGAGGAATCATCTTAGGAGAGGCACATTTATTCTTGAGAATAGAGTGAACAGAGACAAGTAACTATGACCGTAAAGGTCTTCCTTTTAGATGCACTAAATCAGGGACACGGATCCTATCCATGTAAGAAAGATCACGGTGCTTCAGACCCACCTGTGACTCTACCTTGATCTTAGAAAAAGCATGAGCCCACAAAATAAAGCAGTGTTTTAGAGTCCAGTTAATCTGTCTCTTTTCCGTGACCATTCATTCTCACTGCAAAACAGAGGTAACCTTGGGACTACTTCTGCCAACAACCGGACTTGGAGATCTGGG